GCCTATTTTTCGAACGTGAGCCTCTGCCTAACCCACGAACGCGGACCTTGTTAACCCGGGCGACGTCCGAGCCGGTATCAAACTTCGATCTGGTTACTACCATGTTAAATATCTCCACAGAATGTGGGTGTGTGGTCACTCTTAGCTTCATTTCTCCCCATAGACCTTACTGGCATGGGTGTCCCTACCAGGAGCTTGTGCTCCAGCCTGCGTTGCTCTATGGTTCAGTAAAATTACTGGGCTCTCCCACCACGACCAGGTGGTGACCATGGGAGAGTTATTATTATTATTAAAAATCTACAAATAAATTTTTATATGTTTAAATTTAAAATAATATACTTTAGTTCTTAAGTATTTTAAGATTTGAATATTTTTAATTTATTTTAGAAAGTTTAATATATAATTGAATTGTTTTTTTACTTTTAGGTTAATAGAAGAATCAATTATTCAAATATCTTAAAATTATGATATTGATATTATGTATTATTCAAATTAAATAAATCATTTTGGTAAGAAATTTTGAATCCTTCTGTGCTTCTTTCTTTGATTGAAATATAGAAAATCACATTATTAGTTTTAACTCTAGAAATAAAATATCAGAGTGTGAGAGTTATACTTTTGCATAATAAAAGGACAAAAAATTCCAGATTATTATTAACTTTTTTGTGTGTTTTGAATCCCATGGCATGTTTTTTTCTTGAGACACTGCATTTTTATTTGCAATAATTATTTTTATAAAATTGAAAATTTGTATCATATAAAAATTAAATTTTGCTATATATTTGTGTGTAAGTTTATACAGTTTTATTTTATGTTAAAAATCTAAAAAACTCAATTTACAAATATCTTTATTATGCATGGAAAATATACTATTGACAACTTATTGTATTGTACGAAGTCTTTCAAAAATTTGAATTAGAGTAAGGGAAAAACAAATATTTGGAAATTTTCATTTAAGTATTAACATTTCATTCTTGTAATTTATGTTCTGGTGGTTCATTGAAAATATGATTTTAGGGAAGTAGGTGGGATTAATATTTTAATTCTCCAAAGAAATTAATAAGGTAAATAAATGAATAAATAAAGGAAAAAAAGAAAAGATAAACTAAGAGTACATTAGAAGTATGCTTAAGGAAGACAGTAAAAGAGCACTGCACCAGAAGTGGAAAGTGCACAAGTATGAGAATAGAAGTAAAAAGAAGGAAGCATAGAGAGGGAACATTTTGTATTTTGTAATTCTATTTTTATAAAATAATATAATTTAAACTCCAGTTTTGTTGTAAGTCGTTCACAAGAAACTGGAAGGCATTGCAATACTTAAATTTGTTAAAATTAGAAAAATATTGTATAATTGATTAAAGTAATCGGCTATGAGCCATGTCAAATAAAACTAAACATGATAAAAATATTGAATCATTGAATGTATTATGCTAGATTCTTAATTGTAGTAGTTTCTAGATCACTGCTAATTATATCAATTTTTAATTGAAATAAATATCTGGATCAACTATCTGAAAAGTGGATGGCATAACTGGCTACATACTTTATTAGATTTATATTAGATGACAGTTGTATGATTACATCTTTCTGGCTAGAAGTTTTTATCTCAGACATATCAAAATACAGTATAATAGAGATGTAATAATCTATTAATTAACCAGTTTAATTCCTGAGTTTTTCGAGTTTTTCTATGGACGTAAGTTTCCAGTTATCAAGCAGTTTCTCATAAATCCGTTGACAGAATGACTGCAAAGTTGTATACAGTTTATGGCGCCACAGAGTGCAAAGTTCATTTTTATTGAAATAAAAATCACAAGTTAAATTTACTATATGATATTCTTATCAAATAATGTATTATGTTTTTAAATTAAAAGTAATTACAAATCTTTATAAATAAAAAAAAAATGTATAGAAAATTGAGAAACTTTTAATATTTCATTTAATTAAGTTATTATTTTTGGGTTCAATTCAGCTTTTATAAAACAAGGTATAAGATTACTTCATTTTTCTCACATTTCTATTGTAACGTTGTTAGCTATGACACATCCAATTAAATTTCTTGAAGAATCATACCCTCGTATTTCGACGTTGGTTGTAATTCTCGGAATCTAAATTATAATAAATAATGAAAATAATTATATTAGTTTGAATTGAAATATTTGAATAGAATTTATCAAAACTAGTGATTTTTATGCAAATCTATACAAAAATTGTAGATAAAAATAATGTAATGTTTTTTACATTATATGTTAATGTGTTATTTGCTTAAACATATTTAATCAATTATACATAATTAGTATAACTAATGTTACCATATATATATATAATCTAACTGTTAAGTTTGATGTTATTAAATTGAAAATAAAAATAATTATAAAATCAAAATTTTAGCGTGCGCTTTGATAATATGAAAAATTTCATGCAGTATCATTAATTAACGTCAAGACTTACTAAAAATCTTGTTTTATTCTGTAATGAAAATAAACTTTTTGAATTAGTTCTCTAGAAAGTTATTTCAGTAAAACTCATTATTCTTTGTTTCCTAAACAAAAAACAACATACTGAATATTCGTTTTCTAGTTAATTATTTATCTTTATCAATTAAAACGATTCGATTTATTTTCATATACTCTACTAATTGTTCAATTTGAATCAATTCATTTAATTAATTAGTTTTTTGATTTGACGAGAGAAGGCAAGAAAACACATGAATAATATGCCAGGGAAATGGAATAATTCTCGAGAAGACTTTCTACCATACCGATACCATATTTCAGGTATTGTACACACCCAAAGAAAATCGGAAAAACTTCACGGAACCAGTCCGTTGGTCAAGCGCCAACCCAGAAATTTTTCGGCGGGTCGTCTCGGATACATCGGACTCGCCCTTCATCCGGCCATTCCACAATTGGCGTGGAAAAAAACGCCTTTTTTTTATATTCACAGGGCGGAGAGTTAAAAATGAAAAAATCCTTAATATGTTAAATTAATTAATGAAACCTATCCAAGGTAATAATTACAATATTTGAACCTTTTTGATGTGGAAATAAATATTGTAAAAACATATATTGAAACAGTAACCACGGATTTCTTCTTAATAAAAATATAAATGCAACAGAAAGCATTTTTAAGTTTTTTACATTTAATTGTTAAAATGTCACACCATTGTACGATGCCCTTGGATGCAATGCTTACCCTGCTACGTAGGACGGAACTACCTACTACGGGTTTATACACGGGTTTAGTCCTACTACGTAGGACGGAACCCGTGTATTAATCAATAACGAAGAGTATCGTACAAAAATTATTCATTAAAGTCCCACAAATTTATGTTTTTGATTAAGTCATATATAACGTGGCTATTCAAATTTTCTTTATATAGAATATTTTATAATTAATTTTTTCTTGTCATGAAGTTATTAAACACTCGAGCCCGCAAAAGTCTTTGCTTTGATGCGCCCCACTGCTTGCGCCTAGCTAGAAACTCCATTACATTAATATATTGGCTGTAATATGAAAAAATTGTAGACCCATAAATTCCCACTGTCGTCTGTCTTTTTTTCATCTGGACAACTGAGTCAGAAAAAGCCGAGATCAGATGTGGAAAGAGTAGAGGCAGGATGCCCCGATTAATTATGTAGGAACTTCCGATGCAAACCGGAAATCACGTTATTTCAATTAAAAATTTTGTAATTTTTGATAAAAATTATGATATTATCTTATATAATTTCACCCGTTCGTTTACAAATGCGTTAATATTACGATTTATTAGAGAGGTTGCGGCTCTAAAACATGAACATCCAATCGCGTTTGCAACGTCATTGGAATCATGCTCGACGTTGCAAACGCCATTGTCAAACTTCTAGGCTTACAAGATGGCGGCGCTCGACGTTCGACGTTCACGTTTTTAGAGATGAAAACTTCGGCCGCAACCTCTCTATTACTTAGTACTTTAAGCTATTTCGCAAAAACCGTCAGTTGGCATGTACTCAAATATTTCAGAAGACTTCCCTGAAAAAATAACTCGAAAAAGAAAAAGATTATTTTCCGAAATAGCAGATGGTGCTTTACAAAACTCGGTAAAGGAATTTAGGTGTTACTTTTTCAACGTTATGATTGATACTGTTATACAAATTAGACGAGAGATTTAAAAATATACCCAATATTATTTCTGATTTTAGATTGAATACTGATATAAAAACATTAGAAAAAAAATGAACTAAAAAACGCTCAAGGGATTTTTTAAAATCTTATAATAAAGATATAACCGAAGACTTATGCATTTTTAAATTACAGAATATGCGAAATTCTAGTATAAAATAATATTCCAACCCATTAATTGCTTAAAATTTATAATGAAAACTGTTTGGAATTTAATACAGAATCACACTTACAATCAAAAATGGAGTTTTAATGATCAAGTTTTTAATTTCGATTTTTCCGGCAGGTATCGGACATTGTTTACATTGGTCACCATTGACGGTACACGAAACTTCGCCAGTTCTTACTAATTCGCATACATTGAAACTGTTAAAAGTAAAATAAAGTAAGAATTCATAACTAGATTATATCTTTTAATAATATAAATCACTTACCATAATCTTTTATTTGTTGCACATGACGAACTAATAAGTCCAATCGTAGCATTCATTTCTACCCTGGTACCACGCTCAATAGCCTTTAAACTATTAGCATCAAATGATACACTCGCTCGACTATTTAGTTTAATAGGTAGGGGATCGACGTTTACATTATAAATAGAAAATGGCGATTCAACACTACCTATTAACCAAATTATAGAAGCTTGATTGTGAATTAAATGTTTATATTTACTTACAAATTAGACAAAAAATAGAAATACTTACTACAATTCGAAACAGGTACTGTTTTTGCATTGCAATAAATGAAGAAAAGTATTTGTATTAAAGGTAAAACGAACATTATTTTGTACTGGATTGCTTTCAAAAATGTATTTTTATAATCGACTATTGATAGCAGACTATTTTTCTCTAAATATTATGCAGAAAAATAAAAAAAATTAGTAATTATTTATAAACAAAAATATGTGTCAAGCTATTATGGCCTTTCTGTAACATCTGTTTTGTAAATGTATAATGATACAATCAATTCGTTTTAGAATTGTGCCAATTATTGTGTAGGCCGTTTCCTGGAGAGGTTATTTGTTTGTTTTGTTAAATTACGGCAACATAACACTTGGGCGAGATCTGCCTAGGGGGATACTTTTCGGAAGGTATTTTTAAAGGTAACTGGCCCTTATTCAGACCTTACAGATGTGGAGTAAACCGGTAAAACTCCACGTAGACAGCCCATCCTGGCGAGGGGCAAACCCACGACCGAACTACCAGTGTTCAGGGAAAGGAACCGCTTGGCCTTAGAAAGAAGGTAACAAAAGGCGCTCAGCACTTGAGCAGCCAAACCCAGGGAATGCCGCTTTATAATATTTAAAATTTTGACTAATAAAATTTAACCTTTAAGGCAAACAGAACACAGATATAATAATAAAGTAAACATGGCATATCAAATTCCTAATTAATTAAAATCCAGCAAAGTGTTGCTTAACTTTCCCGGCAACATTTGGTGGTGCCATCTGTTATGATATTTTATTTTAAAAGCTTTTATATTTTTAACGATTATAAAATAGCAAAAACCTTAATTTTGAGGGTAGGGATGGGTTTTATAAAAAAAAGTATTGTAAATATTTTTTATAAAACTCTTGGGTCTTCCGATCTGATCCACGCAATATCCTGTGTACTGATATCGCTTAGTGGATGCAAATTGGATTCACTGATAGTCGGAAATAGGTACTACTTTCTTGGCACATTGTTTGCCATTTTTTTTTCATATTTTTACAACAAAAGCACAATGTACTTGCCTTTACCATATCTATCTGTCTACGGCATATGTCTCTACGGTTGATGCTTCTTTTCGGTTATGTTTGCTTTCTTGTCGTTCATCACATTGTCCAAGGGAGCGCACAATAGTTAGTCTAGGCAAAATATGGTACAGTTACTCTATATTATTAGGACATCGCACGACTTTGTTATATTGCGATGGAATAGAGACAGAGCCGGAAAGAAAGAGGCGAAAGATCTTGCATCTGGCTAAACGTCTCAAATATATGATGTTCTGTTTTGAACACACAAGAATGCTTTTTTGTACAGTATTCGTTTTTAATTTCATTCTATTGCTGTTATTTTTTATAGGATGTTTATTTCTGATTACGAGGCTCTTTATAACACTGCACCTTCAATACGAAACAATTAGTTAATCAAGTAATGTAACAGCCAAATATTTAATTTAATAATATGGTACTGCTTAATGTGGAGTTTTGAATTTTGAGGAATTATTGATTAATTGAAATATTAATTAATTAATTATTAAGCGTGTCATGGATTTGAAAGATATGAACCAAGTACTGTAATCATTGATTCATAATAATTACATCGATTATCATTTCAATTAATGATACCACGTAAAATCCTGTCATTCCAATAGATTGGTTGGAATGATAGAATGAAACTTTACACAGAATATCAAAATTTTATTAAAAATATTCATAACATAGTCATAGTTTTTTTCTTACAATTTAACTCCAGTTTAGAGCTTGTGTTTTTTTTTCTGGAAATGAAAAGGCAACAAATACACTTGTACGAGAAATCTCCAAAAAATCAATTAAAAAGAAAATTTAAAATGGCCACTCTGGAGGATTTCAAATCGAATCCAAATAGTAAGTTCGGGGATTTTTCATGGGCAGTCTGCTCCAGATATACCAATCCCCTATCTCTCATTATCAACGCCCCATTGTGGACTTGCCCCATTGTGGGCTTAAAAAGCGGAAAGAGTAAAAAAAAAATGTTAATACAGGTAACCCCCGTATAACACGGCACTTCTATAGCACGGATTCGCTCTAACACGGTTCGAGAATTGGTACCATCCCCCGTATAACACGGTACTTTTATAGCACGGATTCACTCTGACACTGTTCGAGAATTGGGTAAAACCCTCGTACAACAGGAAATGTAATAAATTTTTACATACTTAACTAATAATAGTTCACGAAAATTATTATTTTCGTGAACTATTTGTACTTAAGTATGTAAATTTTCTCTTCTCGCCTTCTGTCGATACAGGTGGTCCTTCTCGAAACTTGTTTCAATGTTGCCAGATCTCGACGCTTCTGCTTCTGATGTTGCCGAATGTTTTTCCCTTATTCCATACTTGCTTTATTCTTCATAAGTGCTTAGCACCATATAAGGAAATTTATAAAGACCTTTTAACTAGAAGCAAGCAATCTAAAATTACATACATTTTGCAAAAGGTAAAGCATGGATCTGAAGATAATGCAGAAAAATGCTCAGAGGATAAGGATAACTTGCCAAAAAGAAAACGCTCTCGGTTAATTAATAGTGTTTTTAGTGATGAAGAAGAAAATATTGTTTAATTTATATTAATATATATCACTTAAAAAATTTTAATGAAGATATTTATCTTAATTATGAAAATATACCATCATGTTTTCTAATTTTTGGAACCTAACCCTCCTTTTCGTATTAGTTCTTTGTTTCGTATAACACGGCAATTTTTTTTGGAACGTAACTACCGTGTTATACGGGGGTTACCTGTATTATTTTAAATGCGTTTTTTTTCTGTTTGCTCATTAAAATAACGGTAATAATATAAAAATACTAAAAACAACTGAGAGCGTACAGAATTTCTATTTTAAGAAAAGTGTTTGTAGAAATTTACTGCTCTAAGAAGCTATTCTCTTTTCAAGATTGTTTTTTTTTAATTTTATTTTAGTCATTTCAAAATGCTATTTTCCGGCATTGTTATATAGAAACCAGTGTAAAAAAACGTTTTATATTTGAAACATATTTATAAAATGTATACAATGTTCTGATAAGTTGTGCCCGTTAAATAAATACAGATGAGTGAGTCGATCATACAGGGATAATCTACGCCAGAATGACTTCATATTCAATATTATCTCGCGTTAAGATATCTGCAAAAATATTCAATAACACAATAAGATTCTTTCTTTTATATTAGAGATGTTGCGGCCGAAGTTTTCATCTCTCAAACGTGAACGTCGAACGTCGAGCGCCGCAATCTTGTAAGTGGCGCTCGACGTTTGACGTTCACGTTTGAGAGATGAAAACTTCGGCCTCAACCTCTCTATTTTAACTCTTTTTCTCCCCGTAGGCCTTTTTTTAGCAAGCTCATTATGGATTCGATCGAGGCCTAATAGTGTTAATAATATCAATAATTTATATGTTTATAAAATAAATTTTATATATTTTTTTTTAGTTTTTGTATATTCTCTAATTGAATAAATATATAAAAATTATGTTTTCATTTATCAAAATAAATAGAAAAAACATTTGTATTTTAAAAGTTCAATTTAATATACGCTATCTCAATGTATAATCATTTTCATATTTCTGAATAATAATAATAATAATTAATTCGTTGAAATTAATTTTCATTGATTACGGTAATTTAAATTGTGAATGAAAATAAATTGATGATAATAATGAGATAAAACATAAAAATTTTCTTTGGTAATTTCTCTTCAAAGAGAAACAACTGAAAATTACTTTTGACTATTCGAATCTTCTGGTAGAGATAACTTCCATTTACGTATACTTATCATAAAAATACAAAATGTTACCAAAATAGTTCCTGTTATACTGTAAACATCTGGAATATCGTGAAAAAACAACACTTGCCAAAAAAATGCTAGAATAATATCCACTGCTGCTCTGACTATAGAAACTGGTGCAGCATTTTCGGTTTGCAAAGCCAGAGTCATTAAAGATTGGCCAAAAAAACTAAAAATTCCAAGCAAAACGATTAATCCTTGATTCAAACCACATTTCGGAATATTAAATCCAAAGATGGCGGTTATGATGGCTGTTTCAATAACGGCAATCCATCCAAAGTTAAACATAATCACGGAATGATGTAAGTTTTTTAGTTTTCTTAATACAATATAAACACCGGCACCAAATACTGTAGAAGTTATGGCGGCAACAATCCCCCAAATTTGTTCATTTGTATATGAAATTCCTTTGGCTATCACTAGAGGCATTTTTGTAATTAGAAAAACTCCTAATAAAGTTAATGAAACGGTAATGCCTTGAAAAATCCCACAAGGTTCTTTAAGAAAAATTTTCGCAAATATTGCCACGAAAACTGGAACGCTGAAAACAATGATTGATGCATCTGCTAATGGAAGATAACGAAAAGCAACGAATCTTAAAAACAAATTAGAAGCTCCAAGTAGTCCTCGAACAAGTAGAAAAGGACGTAAGTTTTTAGGACCGAATGGAAATTCTTTCCTCCAAGAAAGCGTGGGCATGGTGAAGATTAAAATACCAAGAAATCTGGAATTGGCTAACTGAGCCGGATTTAGTTCGCTCATATATTTAACGATTACCGATGATAAACAGAAAAAAACACTGGAGAGTGAAGCTAGTAGAAGTCCTTTATATAAATGACATTTTTTCTTAGGTTGGACGATGTTTTCGTATTGATTTGACGGAGTTTTAATAATTATACTATTGGAACTATTCTGTTGAATGTTGTTATTGTGATGTTCAATTGTAGAAATGGGCGATTGTGCTTTTCTCATCCATCTTGAAACACTCGGTGAAGATGTTGATTCTAATGGTATCGTAACTGATTCTGTTGATGACGAGGAAGGTATTTTCTAATAATCAAATAGAAAAAGAATTATAATTTCAATATAACTTTTATTTCACTTATATATCGTATTATGTAAGATATTAGATTATTGACATATACGTGGACTTCCGAGAAGGGGGACAAGTGACCACTTGTCCCCCTTCTTGGATATTCCAAGAATTACAAATCTGAAAAAACTGTAGTTTTTAAAAGAGTCATAATAAGTATTTAAAAATTATTCTTTCATTTCTGATTTATCTTATTTCTTTCTGAAAGTGAAATACTGCTATATTAATATAAATTAGATTCTAAATAGAATATACATAATGTATTGTACAGTAGACCCCCTATAACACTGTAGATAATTCCGTGTTGTACGAGTCACTTATATTTTACAAAATTTGTAAAATCTAAGTGACTCGTACAACATGGAATATCTACATTCATACAACACGGAATTATCTACAGTGTTATAGGGGGTCTACTGTATATGTAAATATATATTGTAGATGAATAATATAGATATATATGATATGGATGAATATAATATACAGTATATATAAAGCATTTAAAGCATACTAAACATGTTCTAATATCATACAGAAATTGAAATAACGAGGAAATGAATGGTCTTTTTAATTATTTTCTACTGACTAATCTTAAAGTACAAAAACGCATTGATTTTAATAAAATAAGTAGAATTTTCGGAATCGTATATAGATAGAAGCTAATTTAAATCAACCTTTATAATGTTAGTTGTACATTAATTATTCTAAAAACAACAATTAAGCATTAGATTTACTTTAAATCTATCATATAAAGAAATTCTAGAAAGCAATAATGATCATAATGAATATAATCCACGGAATATTATTGTATAATTGAGATGTTGAAATCATCGAAGTGTAAGTTAAAAATATTATTCAATAAATTTCTAAAGCATTTTTTAAATATTGCAAAGCTTCAATTTATCATCTTCGTAGATTAATAGAAAACACAAAAAATAATAAAATATTCACAGTTTTATGCATTACTTACATTTACGTCTTCGAAATTACTCATTTCTAACTTCATATACGATAATCGTTCTAAATAATATGAAAATTCGATTGTTAAAATTTGTCATAATAATAATAATAATAATAAAAGGAAAATAATATGATTTTTATTTTATATTTTTGAAAATTGTAAATGCTAATAACGAGTAAAATCGTCATTAGAATAACGGATTAAGTCCGACCCTCTTGGAGATATATACGAACCCCTTTATCTCCCCATTCCCTTGACCCTTAATAACCAAAATTTAATAGCATCAATCTCCGTAATACACAAATCTGTCCGCAAAATTTCAGAAATATTCGACAAAAAGTACAGAAATTATTAAGCTTCAAACAGAGTGAACAAATTTGTGCCACCACACACATAAATAAACGAATTACCTCCGAATTTTTTTGCATTTCTCGACGTTTCAAGGTGTCCTAAGTTTAAAAATGTAAAAATCTTGGGAAGCCAGTTTTTGACCGATCGCCATTTTACTGTTATATATAACAGACAAAAAGTAAAAGAAGATAACAGACGAAGCGGATATTGCTTTACTATAAGGTCACGTTTTTCGTATTGAAACGTCAACGAACAATGTGACCAAATCGCGCTCGTTGCATTTTGCAGGTGCAGTTGCCTGCGGGGCGGAAAATTGCTACGTGTAATTTAAGGTATAATAATCATATTAAAGCAATTCATTTCACAACTTTTCCATTTTTTAACGATCAAAATTGTCGACAGAGATCAATAATTAATTAATGCACATTAACTAATGATTACAGTTGATAATGAGGAGTAAATGATTACAGTTGTGGTCCAATTGACGCCAGATAATGCCATCATAGTGCCTTAAAATCAATACTCTAGTATCATACAGAAATGCTCGCAGAGGCTTATTGTTTTCAGAATTTTCAATGTACCTGTTTTTTGAAGGACTTCAAACAACAGAACTATATGCAGTTAAAAGACATTACACACAACTGAAGGAATTTGGCTTCGATCACTACTCATTCAGTCATTATCATCTCAACATCACTGGGAACGGACGGCCATTTTGAGTATGGAGGAATACTTGTGAACACGTCATACTATTCAGCAGCACACTGCATCCGCTGGCTGGCTGGGTTGAGGAGTCATCCTTACTATTATATAAGAGTCAGTCACTTGTAACAGTGGTGTAAAGGGAAACAGCGGCGATACATTCAGGAAATTCCGAGCCCTATTGTGTTGTTTTCCATGGCAGGTTTATAAAGTCATTTTTTCAGCAAGATAATACTTATTATGTTCCCAATATCTTACGTAGCTTCACATAATCATATGTATACTGTTTAAGAGAAACAAAGTAATTGTCGATGGGAGAGATCATATTTAAAACATTTCCCTTCAGAAATTAAAGCCTTATTAATAAATTCTTTTTAATTAGTTTGTTCCTGGTGATTGGGCATGGCGAGTAGAGAAGATTTTTTAGTATACGTTTACGTGTTTTAACGTTGTTAATACTAATTAAGATATATTTTTATTTTTATATTAATTAATATCGAAATGAAAAATTAATTTTAAATTATTAAAAGTATTAAAAAAAACTTCTGGTATTTTAAAATTGATAAGTATTGATTATCAATAAACGGTGAATTTTTGTGCTTATTATTTAAGATTAAGTTTTATTGATATCATTTACCTTCCTTCTTTGTAGCCTAAATACACGCTAATTATTATATAAAATAAACTTATATATATTAAAAACAAAATCTATAATGAATAAAAATTTTATAAATATTAATGATTAATAATAACGACTTACTTATATTTGATCGTTGTCTGGGAATGATCATTTTGCTAAGGGAAAAAAATTTTGTACGATTATTTGATGACGTCATCAAAATACCAGCGAATAAAACACCAGAAAAACATAAGAAAAATTTCAAAAAATATCAGTCTTATTTATTCTTACTTTTTAAATATTTTTAATGTATAAAGATTCATTTTAAAATATAATTAACATAGAATCTATCTTATTCTATATTAATTCGCATTAACTATTATAATTAATTAACTTTTTAATATTTTTTAACATTAAAAACATTCATCTAATAGCACAAAAAAATTGGAAAGATTCACTCTGATCTTAACCGAAACATTAATTTTATAGCTTTAAATTCTTTATGAGACTAATTAATTACATTTTCATTTTAATATTTTTGAAGTGTAACTATTAAATCATTGAAATCTAAGGAATAATTTAAAAATTTTAATGGTTATTTTCAAGTTTTATACGATGGAATCTTCAAAATACTTCCGTGGTAATTGAAAAATATTAAAAATATATTAAAAAACAATTCTCTTTTTTTAAATACATTTTTTTTAAAAGGACAAAATGTTTTTAAAAAGAGTTTAAGAATCACGAAAGAATGAGATAAAACAATAGAAATAGATGAAAAGAACAATAGAAAGGAAATTATATAATTTTGAAGAAATAGCGATCAATTATTGATAATGATGATAATAATAATAGATGAAAAATTAAGCTTAACATATGTAGAAAATTATACAAAAATATTAAAATAATCTAATCTATACACAATATATCAAATCGAATTCGTGTCTCTGTCTGTCTGTCTGGCTGTATGAGTTAGAACGGGTGAAACGACTTCTATGAAGCTTTGTAGAGACTATTAACTCAATCTGATAGGGGGTTACAATACAGCTTGTTACATTGGAGTTTTCACTCCAAATTTAGAGTTGGCTGATAAGTTTTAGGGTTCATTTAGGATTTAAAAGTTTAGGGTACTTTTTAGAATTTTTTAAATTACTGTACATTTTTTGGAAAAAAAATTGACTTGGCTCCGGGGAAGATATAGGCTATTTTTCATTTCCAAAAATTCGATTTTATAAGGTTTGATAGAATTGTGATGTCGTTTGCAAGAGTAAATAGTTCATACATGGTATTTTTCTGGTCTTTGTGGGTGTGAAGTGAACTATAAAATTCGAATACAATAGATTAATGTTGCAATCATTAACGGGTAAAAGTGAAAGTTGAAAGCTGATCAGCCTAGTATTTCTACAAAACATATGCAGTACTGAACGTAGTAACATTTCCATTTTCATCTGTCAAATTGTTAATGAGTCCCTAGAATTTCTTTTCATGCAAAATTAAATCTATTAAAAATATATACATTTTCCCGTATATACATTTTATATGTGTGTATTTTTATATTACTTTTATAACCCAGTTCTAAGGCTTTAACCTACTATTCTGGAGAACAGGGAACAAGGGCCGATACAGGGATAAGCAATGAGGGTCGCTATCCAGGGAGGCAGATTTTTTCTCAAGCGGTACGAATACGTAGAACACCACCCTTCACCACCCGATCGCTCTATGTAAATACGAAGTCATCAGTGTCATAATTATTTTCTTTGTTCTATTGTGTTCTTTATCCAAAATTGATTTCTCGTGTGCATTTTTTTTTGGATTTATAATGAATAATAGATGTTTTTAGATTAATCAATCAACTATTAAGCTGTAAAATAAAAACAACAGAAATGAATTTGTGAGATAAGACAGGTTTAAACTTCGTGGCAATGGCGAAGAGAAGAGAACATGTCTCTTTTCTTTTCTATTATTCACTTAAGTGTTTACACTTCCAAAGAACGAAAGAAAATCGTGCAAGCGCTTTGAATACTTACAGTTGCCTTGAAAGTGTAGCGAAAGTGAAACCTAAGTCTTAAAATTCTTACAAAGAATAAGAGTATGTGCAGTTAATTAATTTAAAACCATTATAACATTATAAAAGAAATTAAGAAAGATGATCCCGAATTTTCAATATTTTAGATAAGTTTTAAATACAAATACGTAAAGTAATATAAACTCGGATATGTTTAACTCAATATATTTACATATATATTACGATTCATCGAAAATAATTCTGCTCTAATTATATCATCAAACCGGGACTGTCCCGGTTTGATGATATGGTCCTTGCATTCCGGCCAGCTTATCATTTTGTCCCGGTTATTTGGTAAAATTTTAAAAGTAACTTTTTTTACTTCTTATATATTCGGATAAACTATTTCAGCCATGGTTAAACATTAACAGAAAATGAACCTAGATAAAAGCAACAACAAACCATACTTCTTGCAGTTGAGTCTACGTCTTACTAGATGCATGCATGTCCTAAGGATATGCTTATAATTCGAAATAAATGATTACTTTTATTCATATGGCTCAATAACTACACTATCCGTTCTCCACAGACGCTTTATTTCTTGGGAGAGTTCTGAGTACAGTATTTACTAACTTTTTAGTGTATGTTTAATACAGCTGTGTCTATGATGAATGTGATTTTGTTTTGTTTGCAATGAATATGATGTCCGGTCTATTGTGAATAGTGACGGATTGTTTTGTCTGTAATTATGTCACGGTCGTAGTATAATTCGTGTATGTTTTCTATGACCGTCTAAGAAGCGTATTTATAATATGATTCCTGGATGTGTAATGCTTTTCATTTGTGTGCAACCTTTCGATGTATCATAATTGCTATTTGCTTATGTTGATGTAAGTAGTCTGTTCGTGTTAATAGCTTTTGACAAGCCTTCCAGTGGACGAGTGGTTAATGTTGTTCTTCTTTTCCAAAAGAAAAGAAGAACAACATTAAGAATGGGTAATGCGCACGGGTTCAATTTTCTCGGCTACTTTAATCCCTAACTATCCCAAAAATTTGCAGTTTAAGAAAAACCATAAGCTAAACGTGTGGTTTGTTTATCAAACTGTATAAGAAAATTTCCATTGTTAGTATGTTTCTTTTCCGATCGAGTTTTTTTAATAAAGAAACTGCAAAAATAACAAATTTTCTACATAGCTGAATTTTTTAAACGAAAGTTGTGACGGCTTTCCCATAAACACACTTAGATTCGAAAAAATAATCTTACTTTTACTTTTGTATGGGACCGTGAAAATGCAGGAGCAAAGGGGTCACGTGCCAGTGCGTAAAGATAACGGGGCGCCAAAATTTAATAATTCTTACATGGGCAAACTAATAAATTTACAGAAAACTCGCATACGAGTATGAAAAATTATATGAATAATATTGATAAAAATTGTTTTTTTAATGATTTTTATACAGTAGGCCACCCTATAAAACGTGTTCATATAATGCGGATTCGTATGTAACGGCGAAAAAATTGCGACCGTATTCATATAAATACGCTAAAAGAAACTCGTATAATACGGCAAAACATCATCGCCGACTCGTGTCGCGAAAGGATTGGTCAAATCTAGACCAATAGAGGATATTGCACAAAGCGTTGAATTTAAATGAGCAGCAGACCTACTACAAACTATTTGTTATTTAACGGCCATAAAAATTATATTTTTATTAATGATGTCTCCAAAGTTCAGCGAATTTTTCGCAGAAAAATAACTTATCAGGAAACACGCGCTTGCTGTTCAATGTGCCGCTCCGCGACGAAAACAAGCTTAAGCAATGGCGTCGTCGAATGGTGCACACTCGGTAAGTAATCCCACAATTTCTTGTTTATAGCATAGTTTATATGGATTATTCCCAAAAAATTATACGTGTTTTGGAAATGTTGAGTCGAATTAGTCTAGAATCGATTAATTTTATGGAAGAAAACCTTTCAAACAGACGTAATCCGTAAACTGCACACGTGCCGGGCTGTGATTGGCTCATGTATTTAAGGACTCTTAAAACATGAATTTCATAAAAAACGGAACGTATCTACCGTGTTATAGGGGGGTCGACTGTATTTTTAACAGGCGCCATATTTAAGTTTGTCTCTGGTGTCAAATGCTTTAGCCATGGCTCTGCTTTTTTATACAGTAAACAAAATAATTAAATTTTTTCCCATTAAAGAAAACTTAACAATATTGTGAAAAGTTATTTTAATGGTGCAAACAGTGTACACTAAAAAATAAAGTACATGTGTCAAAACTCGAGTATTCCTCCCCATATTGTCTTAATGATAAAAAACACGTTACACTGAGCCCCATTACCCAGCCATGCGAGGTAATGGGAACCATCATATAAAAACATTGAAAAAGACTGAAACGTTAGATATGTTTGTTCAAAAACTAGAAAACTTAAGTTTTCTAGTTTTTGAACAAACATATGTATTGTATTATTACATATTATTATATATTACAATACATATGTAAAAAATTAATATGAATTATTAATTTTTTATATATGTATTGTTTTCAAAATAGTTTGTGTATTTAATGATAAGTTCAAGCACTTTAAATTAAAAACTTTAATCGTTCAATACAATAATAACAAATGTAATCATCTGGAGAATCAAATCAACTACCGGTACATTCAGAATGTGCCCAAGCAGCACGACAGTAAATTTGTACCATAATTATTTGTTTCTACCAAATTCTCCACAGATGATGCAGGTATTGTTCGAACTTGTTCCAGGAAGTGATGACTCATACCACCCGGGTGAATTGCTTGTTTTTCACGAAGGTTGAGATGTGAAAAGTGGCGTTCGCCACAAGCCCCCTTCACGCCATTTTATGTTTCTAACCTTGACTAGACTGAAAGGGATAAAGTGAAATCGTTTCTTCTTTTGTATTTTAATAGTTGAGGGAATAGTTAGCATTAATATATATTATTGAAACAATAAGTTTTATACAAGGGTATTTACAGTCGAACAAATGATAGTGTTCCAATTAGAATAAGATGACCAGATTTTAACATTGGTGAAGCGGGACAAAATTGACATGGGAAAATGCTCAAAATTGTCTCGTTGAAGAAAATTATTCTGGAACAACCAAATTTTATTATCAAAGAACGCCAAAAATTATATTGTATTAGGTTTTTTAAATTTCAACATACGTAAAATTTATAAAT